AAAGAAAGAAGGGAAGGAATGAGAGGAGGCAATGGAATTTAAGAAGAGAGAAGTTTTAAAAGAGGAGAGAGTAAAACGTAGGAAGGAAGAAGAAAGGTAGATGGAAATAGAAATGAGAAAAAGAAGAAATGATTGGATAAAAGAATGAAAAAACGAAATGGGTATTAATAAGAACTGAAAGTGAAAGTGAAAGTGAAAATGAAAGAAGAAAACAGTAGAAGAATGAATGACTGAAAGGATAACTGATGAAAGACAGAAATGAAGAAAGAAGGAATTATGAAGTAAGAAAGGGTGGCTGAAGAGAATAATAGTATAAATGAAAGAAGAAAGGGAAAAGGAAGGAAGGAAGGAAGGAAGGAAGGAAGGAAGGAAGGAAGGAAGAAGAAAATTGAGTATAAATTGAAGTGAGAAAGGAGTGGAAAAAGAAAGAATGATGAAATAAAACATATGCAATTGTGAAGTAAGAAATATATGAAAAAAATAAAATGGAAATTAAAAAGAAAGAATGAAAAGAAGGAAGGAAAGAAAAATGAAGAAATTATGTAAAGATGAAGATAGAAAGGAAAAGGATATAAATATCTTAGAAAATAATCGAAAAAAATTGGGGAAGAAAAGAAGCAAAGGAAATGTGCGACAAAGAACCTGGATCCTAAGAAAACGGACAAGCTGAATAGCGCCAAGGAAAGAATGAAGGAATAAAGAAGAAATGATGGAAGGAATGAAGGAAAGAACGAAAGAAAAAATGTATAAAAACAAAATGTATTAAAACCTGAAACCGAAGCAGTTGAGGCAACAAAAAAAAAACAAACAAACACTGAAGACGGAGAAGGTGAGGTAGAAAGAATCGCACAGAAAGAGAAAAGAGTAAAAAGAAAAGGACAGGGCATGGGTGGGAGGGAAGAACTAAAAGAGAAGGAGAAATAATGACAGCAATAAGGAGGAAAAGGAAAAGAAGAAATGGAAATGAGTGAATAAAGGCGAAATAAAGAAAAAAAAAGAAAAAGAAAGAAGAAAAAAAAAGAAAGAAAGAAAAAATATTCATAGATGAAAATGAACAAAAGAATAATAAAAAAGAAAAAAAAAAAGTGGATGGAAGCAAAAGAAAATAATATTCATAGATGAAGAGATGAACAAAAGAATAATAAAATTGGAACGAATATGAGCAGAATCAAAAAATAAATAGATAGATAGATAGATGGATGGAAGATAAAGATAGGGACAAGAAGATATAGATTAGATAGATATATACAGAATTAGATAGCTAGATACATAGATAGATAGATATGAGCAGAATCAATAGATAGATAGATAGATAGATAGATAGATAGATAGATAGATAGAGAGCAGAATCAAATAGATAGATAGATAGATAGATAATTAGATAGATAGATAGATAGATAGATAGATAGATAGATAGATATGAACAGAGATAGATAGATAGATATGAACAGAGACAGATAGATATGAACAGAATGAGCTATTATTATTATTATTATTATTATTATCATTATTATTATTTCTTTTGTCGTTATTGTCATTTGAATTTTTCTCTAATACTCAATCAACCGTGATACGACGAAAGATTACTGAAAAGTTCTAGATTTGATCAAAAAGCTCTTCCTCGCCTCTCCGGATGCAAGGATCGTGTAATGAATCACGGCTCGGAATGAAAATCGGTGAGCAGAGTTCGAATTTCAGCCGGGTATATTGCATTCACTTTCGCGCAACTACACTTGGGAAGGGCATGAAAACATCTCTTCTCCCCGGTATGGGTTAAATAGTAGGACTTGTATCAGTAAAAATAATTATCGTCCTGAAAAAAATATTAATTCCCAAAAAATAAGTATGCTTAAACCCCAAAATATCTTGAATGTTGAATTATTGGTAAAAAGTTAAAATTTCCACTAAAAAAAATAAAACTCGCTTGTCTTGATTTTGCGTCGTGAGTCGAATATCCTTGTTTAAGTAGACATCTGTGTTTATTTACAAAGATTGAAATTAACGTCTACAAGCATAGATCATCGAAAGCTTTCTTTAGTAAGACATTTGATGATCTAGACATTAAACGTTAATTTCAATATTTGCATATACATAGAGATATCAATTCAAATTCAGGTACTCCCTAACATAACGTTTATAGACCTCATAAAACTTTCGGTTCGAAAAATACCTTTATTGTATACGTATATATATTTATTACTTCAAACGTTGATTCTAGCGGAAACCCGTTTTCGAAAGAGACGCCCTATTATTTAAAAAGAGTATGACTGACATCTGTAAACTCGAGAAAACTTCATAAAGAAAATGTACTTACCGGCAAGATTCGAACCTGCATCCTTATTTGTAGGAGAATCTATAGTTTGACGCAGTGTTCTTTAGACCCCTCGGCCACAGAGATTAGGTCAATCGCGTCAATCCACTAGAAAATAACGTTTGAAGTAATAAAAATGTCGAATATATATATATTAATAAATATGCATATTATTGTTCAACGGTAGTACGATTCGGATTTCCCTGAGCAACAAAAGCTTTACTCCATCCCTGATGATTGCTCTGTGCATGAAACTCCGGCTTGCGCAAGTTGTGAGGAAAAATATGCATATTTATTAATATATATTTATATTACATCTAGTACTATTTCATTAACACCAGTACTCAATGGGCGATATCTTAGATTCATATATATATGTGTGTGTGTGTGTGTGTGTGTGTGTGTGTGTGTGTGTGTGTGTGTGTTCATACGTGAACTTGCCGGACTTTCCACGAACTTGATTAATATTCATGAGCACCCTTATACCAAAAATTAAAAAAAAAAAACTCTCATATATAATACTTGTTACAAAATAAAATCCTTACAGTTGCCTTCATAACGTCCGCCAGAGGACGAAACGCATCGTTTAAGATAAATTTTTCTTTTGTCTTTTTCATATATATATATATATATATATATATATATATATATATATATATATATATATATATATGTGTGTGGATATGCGTAAGCGGCTGACTAAAACAGTAAAGAAAATATTTATAGACGCTTATTAAATATTCTAATTAATTATTACTATATATATATATATATATATATATATATATATATATATATACACATATAAATATAGATAACTAGACTCGTTTCGAAAAACCCTCGAATTTTTGATTTGCTAATCAAATCAATCTCGAGGGAAAAAAAAAGTTTAAAAAAAAAAGAAAAAGCTACAAACATGAAATTCTGCCGACAAAAAAATCGCACAGATGCAGGTCTGAAGCCCAAAGAAAAAACCCCGATACGAGTAAACAACTAACTAACAAAAGAGCTCAATACAACCGTAGAGCAGACCTAGATACACCTAGTGAGCCAGACAAACCTACCTAGGTTTCACCTAATCGGATCCGTATATATATAAAAAGCCGACAAATCCAAAAATTTCTATAAAATTAAACCTGCTGAATATGACAGAATCGTCACTGACAAAATTACCAGCTCTTATAAAAAAGACAAAGGCAATAACACCTTATCATCTATCAATGAAGACATCTGTAAATTTTCTAACAAATGTTGAGTTGCTGACAGAATGGGCAAATTTGGTATGAAAGATGCATACATTCTCTTCAAGGATCATAAGCCGAACTTTGTCAATAGCTTACAGTCCCGTCTAATTAATCCCTCCAAATCTGAGTTGGGATTAATTTCCAAGAGTATCTTAAAGGAAATAACATCTTGTGTCCTGAATAAATATCATGCTAACCTTTGGAAGGACTCGGCGGAGACGATTAAATGGTTCCGAAATATCACTAACAAGAATAAAGCCACTTTCATCCAATTTGACATCTTGGATTTTTACCCTTCTATTTCGGAGGAACTATTAATTAATAGCCTCAATTTTGCCAAAGGATTTACCAAAATAACGGATATTGATCTGGACATTATTTTAGCGTCTAGAAGATCAATACTTGCATACAATGACGCTACTTGGGTAAAAAAAGAATAATGGTAATTTCGATGTACCTATGGGTGCCTTTGATTCTGCCCAAATTGCAGATCTGGTGGGCATATATATTCTTGACACCTTGAGTAGAATAGTTGACCTTAACCAAGTCGGAATTTATAGAGATGACGGCTTAATCATTGTCCCAAATAGCAATGGTCCCTTAACTTCCAGCTTACATAAGAAGATTATTAGGGCCTTCAAATACTTAGACCTTAAAAATTGAAATATCTTCCAACCTGAAAATAGTCAACTTTTAGATATTACACTCAATCTATCGAATAATACCTTTAAACCCTTCCATAAAGTTGATCAAACACCCTATACATCAACGTCCACTCTAACCACCCTAAACATGTGATAGATCACATCCCCAAAACTGTGAATACGAGAATAAATAAGCTATCTTCTAGCCAGAAAATATTTAATGATAATAAATTTATATACAATCAGGCCTTAAAAAAATAGTGGTTTTAGACAAGAATTAAGCTTTAATGGTGAACTTGTAAATCAGAATAAAGGGCAAAACTAAGAACAGGAAAAGGAAGGTAATATGGTTCAACCCACCATATTGCAGACTCTCTAACATTGATATAGGAAGTTTCTTTCTGAAATTAATTGATAAACATTTCCACAGTAAGCATCCACTACGTAAAAATTTTCAATAGGAAAACTCTAAAAATTAGTTACTCATGCGTTAGAAATATAGAAAATCATATCTTCCCATAATTGCAGAATACTTAGAAACTACCACGGTAATGGAACTCAATCTAGTAACCCTACCTGCAATTGTAGGAATAAAGACCATTGTCCAATCGGGGTAAATGCAAATCTGAAAATGTAGTATACGAGGCAACTATCTTTCCCGAGGGAAATATAAACGAGAAAAAAAAAAAGATACATAGGTATATCCGCCGGTGATTGGAAGCAGCGTCTATACAACCATAGACGCTCATTTAGATATAGATGCCTCAGTAGACAGACTTCCTTATCCAAACACTACTGGGAACTGGTGGATACGGGATTAAACCCAATTTTGAAATGGAGATTCCTATCTAGAGCCAGAACACCTAATAACTTCCGCGATCGGTGTGATCTATGCATGGCGGAAAAAAATCTTCATTATCAAAGATAAAAATCGAGATGAGCTGCTGAATCTTCGGAATGAGGTATTCTCTAAATGTAGACATAAGAAAGGTTTCAAAACTTGAACACCGTTGTGTAACATGTTGTCACTTATGTCGGCTCCATCTCGGTCCTATAACATCGGGCATGACATTTTAATTGTATGACTATTATGTTTATCTCTAAATGTACCTTTGTGCACGTTTATGTGATGCGCTATGTATTTATATATATATGTTTGTGTATGTGTGTGCATGTATGTATATGTATGTATATGTATGTGTATGTATGTGCATGTATGTGTATGTAGATATATATATATATATATATATATATATATATGTATATATATATAAAAATATTTTTTTTTTCATACACGCGCAAATATTTGAATCGTCTCTTATTTAGATTTTAACTTTTTTATATATGTACATATGTGTATATCTCTGAGTGTATTTATATGTATGTATGAGTATGTGTATGTGTGTATATGTGTGTATATTTGTATGTATATGTATGTATGTGTATATATGTGTGTATGTATGTAAGTGTATATATATACGTATGGAGGTGTTTATGTTATGTATGTATATGTATAGGTGTGTATGTGTACTTATGTGTATACATGTTTATGTGTGTATGTGTATGTGTGTGTATGTGTATATATACATGTGTAAGTGTGTGTATGTATTTGCATGTGTATATATATACATGTATAAGGGTGTGTATGTATTTGCATGTGTATATGTATGTGTATATGTGTGTATGTGTGTGTATATGTATGTATGTGTGTATATATGTATGTATGTGTGTATATGTATGTGTGTATGTGTATGTGCGTGAATGTATGGGTATATGTGTGTATATATATATATGTATGTATATGTATATATGTATGTATAGGTATATATATATGTATGTGTGT